TTTTGTTACAGTGCTCCATTTTAAACTAATTCAGATGAAACAGAAATGCACGAGTCTGTGAACATTACCACACGAGTCATGGTGCACGTGAGGGTGGATTTTCACGGATAGCATAAACTACTGTTTTCTATAAAGTTGAGTATCCTGTAATGACAGTGTGATCTCACCCTGGTATGTTTTGCCATCAAGCTCGACCTCGTAGGACTCCATCACCTCTTGGATTGCCTCTCCGACATCACACAGGCGCACATCGATGCCGGCGTTCTTCAGAGGAGAACAAACATGTTTCAGCTGCAGGATCCACAAACACACACCAACTAAAAACGAGGCGTCCGTTCAGGTCTTACTTTGATTCCGGTATTAGTGGCGTCTTTCACGGCCTCCAAAAGCTTGTCGTACTTTGGGTTAAACGTGACGGTGAAGGCACAGTCAATGATTCTCCCTGCGGGCAGACACCGGAAGAAAGAAGCACACCGGTCAGCATCCAGTGGCTGATGTATTTTTAAACAGCAGTAAAAGAAGCAGAAAGGTTCAGTCGGCGTACCGTTGATGTGAGTGCCAAAGTCGATCTTGCAGACGTCGTCGTACTGGAGGACAGTGGTGTCTCCAGCGTTGGGAGTGTAGTGAGCAGCACAGTGGTTCAGGGAGCAGCCGGTGGGGAAGGCCAGGCCGGCGTTCAGCCCGTTCTCCTTTATCAGCTTACGAGAGCAGTCCTCCAACCGCTCGCTAATCAAAACAGAGAAGGGCATCAGCAGGAAATCCAAATCTTCTCATCTAATTCCAAAACAGCCGCCTCTACGAGCGACAGAAGATAAAAGCAGTCTCACCAGATTTCGATCATGGTCATGCCAGGTTTCAGGAAGCTGCGGACATGCTTCCGGACCTGCCTGTGTGCCTCGGCCGCCTGCCTGAAGTCGTTCCACATCTCCTCATTAGCTTTATCCAGCACCCGCTTCTCCTCGTTGGTCATGCGTGACACGGCGCTGCGACTGGGAGGTGAAACAAAAACAGCAGCGCAGCACGTTCAAGCATCAAATTTGGATTCAGTTACAGTTTCTAAAGCTAATAAAAACATCTGGAGACCACATTCTTCATGAATATGCACCTGCTGAAACTACTTAGTTGAATGTTTTTGTCTTTACTGGAAAATACAGAGTCTCTCCTCTGTTAAAGACAGAGATGAGTGAGTAATTTTTCAGATCACAAGATTAAAAAGTGTTTCCCAGAAAGAAACACTGCACAGTGTGGTCCACAGCTTGCTGCAGGAGCCTCACATGTAAAGCCTCACATGTAGAGCCTCACATGTAGAGCCTCACATGTAGAGCCTCACATGTAGAGCCTCACATGTAAAACCTCTGATGTAATTCAGCCAGAAAACAAAGGAACAAGAAGGGAAGGCAATGGAAGTAAAAACAGATTAAATGAAACCTGCACACCTCAGGCACACACTCAGAGGAAACCACTAAAGAAGTCCTTCCATGCTAACTATTGTTACTGTTAGTACCACTCTGAGTGATACTAACAAAAAGAGAATAAGTTAAGATTTTGAAATATTATTCTAGAAATATAGTTAGAATTTTGAGAATAATTTTGCAATACTATTTCAGGAATAAAATCAAAAATATGCATTGCAGGGAAATCCACGTCTATTCCAAGAGTAAGTTCAATAGGGCTGCCACAAACGATTATTTTGATAGTCGACTAGTCACCGATTATTTTTGTGATTAGTCGACTAGTCAGATCATCATCCATTGGACGTACAGCGTACAGCTTATTGCACCAGCAGCATCTGGTCTTATATAACTATCATTAGCTTACAGCTTGAAGTGTTTGTGCTAACTAAAAATAAAGACAAGATGGTAGTTTATTAATTTTTAATGAAATTTGCAGATTGTTTCGGTGAAGTTTAATAAACTCCTTGCTTTCTAAAATATAACAGGACACCGGAGTATATTATCCAGCGTCTCAAACTTCTGATGATCAGCTGTCTGCTTGAAGTTTATTTAGCTGTGCAAAAACTATAACTTTAATCTCAGCCAAAACGATTTACTCAGGAACAAATAAAATACTAAAGAAAGCCAAACAATAACATTTTTAAGTTATCTAAGTGACTGTTTAACCTGTTTAACCTGAGTAGCGAAAGACGGCGGTGGGTTTGAAAACGACTTGCCGGGAGTCCGGTGTTCTCACGGCTCTAGTGAGCCTTGCCCCCGCCTAGCTAACGAGCTAGTGGGTAACAGACGTCTCCGAAAACGTCGGAGCGCTTTTGAAAATATGTGGTGTCTTGATAAACTGAGCAGATATTTGAGGTTTACACAGCTACATTCAAGCCTGAAAATATGTTAAACGTTTATTTTGTGACCCAGAAAGAATAATAAGAGTAAAGTTAAAACTAACTAGCTGCCGCCATTGTTGACAACTGCGCTGGGCTGCGCTATGAATTCTGGGACACAGCTTCTTCTTCTTCGGGGTTTAACGGCAGCTGGCATCCTTGTACATGCAGTGCTGTCATCTTCTGTTTCAGTCCGTTATTACACCCTTAAATCCTACTACTCATTCCTGCGTCCTTTGTGATCTTACAAAGCTTCAAACGATGCGTCGACTATTAAGTTAGTCGTCGACAATTTTAATAGTCGACATAATCGTGACTAGTCGACTAATCGTGGCAGCCCTAAAGTTCAATTCCCAAAATGAACTCAGAAGTTTTGGAAAAAAGTCAAAATATTATTTCGAAAAAACCCACCTGGCATTTTAAAAGCTAAAGAGATTTAAAAGAGAAGTAGAACTTAAGTCGCAAGTGTAGGTGTGTGTGTGTGTGTGTATGCTCGTCTTACCCATCCTGAACAACAGGGTATTCACATTCCTGTCCAATGGGGAAAACTCCGCTTGGGTAGAGCTCACAGATGGACACAGATGGAGGATCAGTCTGACATTTGGCTGTCAAAACACAACAAAGACTCACCAACAGATGTCTTACAGAAACACCTAGCTCCGGTATAAAACACACCGAGTCTGCTTTTCCACTAAAATATCATTAACTCACTTCCTTTCTTCTTCTTTTTCTTCTTCTTCTTCTTTCCTGCAGAGTTCTCTCCATCGTCTCCGTCTGTGTAAGTTAAGACTTTTTTTAAAAAAAAAAACGGCTACTAAATCCAATGTTTACATTTGACCTGTCCACACCACCGCAGGTTAAAGTGTTGATGTTTGACTTCAGTCACCTTCCTCGCCCTCCTCTTCCTTCTCTTTGTCCTCTATCGCCTGCTTCTCCAGCTGTTTGGTCACCTCGGCCACTCCGTCCGCCTCCACCTCTGCCTCAGTGCCTGTAAACAGATGCCAGTGACCCAGAAATGAATCGTTACTCACTACTTTTAAAATATACACCTTTAATGGCCTGATAGGGAAGCAATATCAGGGTTAAAACGAAATAAGATGTGAAGGTCTGAGCCACGCTCTCCTGAAATCTCAACACTATAATCCACAAATGAGGAACATCCTTCAAGAGATTCAAGATTCTTTATGCGTCACATGCATAGTTATACAAGTATAACACGCAGTGAAATGTAACCTGACACGCTCCTCGACTTGTGCAAAGGGGGGGGGGAGAGGAAGAACATTATATATTATATACATTAGGCGAATGTGCAGTAGTAGCATTGTATGCAGCAAGCAGGTGAATTCTGTACATTAAGTGAATTAAATAAGAATAGAAAATCTGAACATTTTCCTGCAGTTTTTGATGGATTAAAGCTTACATCACTATAAAGTAAACTAATAAAAACAAAAGTAACATTTCAATTTAACTCTCTAAAACACCTTCGGTAATGAGGCAGACCTTAAGGTGTACACTAAGTAATGTGACCACACACCTGAGCTCTCAACTTAGCCCAGCTTAATCCTGCTTTAACACAGTTTTCCCTGTTTGATAAACCTCTACAAAACTGGCTTTTATTAATAGAACTGTTAAATGTTCTGACAGGACCTGTGCCCCTCTTTTCACCTGGGCAAAGATCAGGGCATACACACAAAAAAACGAGGGCAATATTAAACCGCTGAAGGGCATGCTGGGTAATGACAGCGTGAAGGTCTGTTTGTGCTCACCACAGCTCTGCACCATTTACACCAGCAGCACTAAGGGTGCATCACTCGCTGATATAGGAGCCAGCGACTTTTCATTGACACTATGCCACAAATAACCCATCAGCCAGGATTCTCCATGACATCACGGCCAATTAGAAAAGGAGGAAGAGCTTAATGACGCCAGACGGTAGCCAGAGGTGTATGGATCAGAGCTCAAAAATTGAGTGAACAGAGTCTTGCTATCAGTTTGGCTACTGCTGGTCTTGTTGGTTAGCATAAATATTTCTTGGCTTCCAAAGCAACTGCATAAATTTGCAAGGGGGCGGGGGGCTACATGCTGATTCAGAGTTAGTGAAGACAGATACAAGAGCAGAGATGGCCTCAGAGAGGAGACGTGTCTGCTGGTATTCAAATAAAACAAGGCTTGTTTTACTTCATTACTGCCTCAGCTGAGTCTGTGCTGGACCTTCTATGTGGGCGGGGCTCAGTCAGCTCTACCCACACAGTTAAAGATAATCAGGTTTAGAAGAATAAGTACTGTTGTGTTATTGTCCTACTTGAAGGCAGTGTTTTTTGTTTCTTTTCTTTTTTCTCTTAAATAAGAAAAACAGATCAGACACAAAGAAAACTGACACCACTGCCCATTCCCCATAAACTTAAAATATGGCTTTTAAATAAACGTCTTCAATTACACAGTGTATAAAAGCTGTATTTTATTTTGTAATGTTCTGAATGTTATTAACTATCTAATAAGTAAGAAAAATATTTTTAACTGCGGCTAATTTTCAAAATAAACCTTCCTCTGTTCTTTTCTTACATAATAAGTCTGGCAAAGGGAGAATTACGAAACAGGAGAGCTTGGCTGAAGCTCGGGGGGGGGAGGGCGGCAGCAGCAGGGAGGACAGCTCCTGGAAGGACTATCTTCCACCCTAAAGCTGCCCTTCCACGACAGAGGGCACGTTTCCCGTGGGGAGCTCCGCTTAAAGCCCGGTGTCCTCGCTGAGGCCCAAGAGGCACAGCGGTAGCCCAATCTGCACTGATCTGCGCCCGCATGTCCAACGAGTAGGACGTGGAGAAGCTGAAACCACTCAACTGCACTGCTTCCGGTGTAAATTTCAGAATAAGATTAGATTAGAATAGATAGAACTTTATTAATCCCTCGGGTGGGTTCCTCTGGAAAGTTCGATTTCCAAAAAAGCACAGCACCGACAGAAGTTACAGAGTTGCAGAATATTATATATATATAATACACACACACACACACACACACACACACACACACATATAAATACAGAGATAATATAAATAAAATATACGAAGGGGATAAATAGAATAAATAGGAATAAAAAATAAAAATACAAGTGAATTGCACATTTCAAGTATTGAGGTCTATTGCACTGTTGACTATTTACAAAAGTATTGTACAGTGAGGTGAAGAGGCACTACAGCTTAGTTGTTCCCCCCTCCTTTGTCCTCCTGTTTCCCCTCCCTCTCCCCTCCAGAGAGGAGTTAAACAGTCTGATGGCGTGTGGGACAAAGGAGGTTTCTGTCACAATGCCTCTATTATGGAAACCAAGAGATGTAAACTAACACTGTCTAAATAATATAGTTAATTCTTCCAATCTTATTCCTAAATCTCATATAACTGACGCATTACAGCTCTTGTAATGCATGGCTCAAGATCTCTTCCTATATGTCAACACATTATCTCACATACTTTATCATGGAAATAAGCATCACAACTTAAATAAAAAATTTCCTAGCAAAAACAAATCACAACTACTTAGCTTTGAAACAATACACGTTGGTGCAATTTAAATATTACATTTATAATTAAAACTTTAACTGTCGATTTTATTTTGAAGCCGTATGCACATATTTCCGGTTTGGTCGCGGCTAACTCGTCCGTCTAACTAACGTTAGCCTGTTAGCACGAGACTTCACCTGTCGTGGCTCACCTGTCCCCGCAGACTTGTTCTTCTTCTTCTTTTTTCTCTTCTTTTTCGAGGTTTCCTCCGCTGGATCGGCCTCCTCTCGGTCCTCCGCTTCTCCGTTCAGCTCCCGGTTCAGGACCGCTTTCTGCTCTGCTACCCGCTCCGCTATTACGTCCGCCATGATCGCAGGCGCTGCTGGAAGAGGAAGCACAAGGGGTTGTGGGAGTCCTCAGTATGTGTTGCCTTCATGGACACCCGGGATTTTTCCTCTTGTTAATAAAACTAATTACATTAATATTTTATTTGTAAGTACAGAGGGACTATGTTTTACTAAAACAAATACACATATTATCTCAAAATATTTAATTATAATATAATATAATTAAATATACTCACACCTAGTGAGTAATCATATATAATTACTCAATAGTTGAGTCTTTAATTAATTTAGAAACATTTATTTAGTAAACACGATACAAATGGAAATAATAACGTTTTTTATTATATGTTGACCCACGGGCACTCTAAAAACCAGGAATAGGTTTAATCTCCCTGCAATTTCAGTTTAAATAGTACTTTCAGTGTGGTGGCATATGCTTGAATGCTTAAAATTAATTATTAAATGACCACACCCTTAATGCACCACACACTGACTGCCATGTTTGGTGTTTAGCATTTGTTTAGCAGTTAACTTGTCTGCCAGATGAACGAAGGTATGATTTGGAATATTTTTTTATAATGCGCGGAGTTTAAAGACGTTTAGTCAGAAACCGGAGCTCTGTACGCAGCCCCTGAAGGCATCACATAGTAAAACATGCCGAATCAGCTGAAGAGGAGCTTTAACACCTGAGGAACCAACAGATGTGATATACGAATAATTAAAAGGATAACAAACGAGCTTATCACACTAAAGAAGACGAGTTTTTCTTTCTTTTAACACAAAAATATAAAATACTATTTATTTTACAAGTTTAATCCTAATATAAGGACCGGGGAAGTTCCAGAATCCGCCACTAGGTGGCAGTAAACACTACAGTAAACAACCTTTATAAAACAATGTAAACACTATAGTTGTACACATGTTTGCAGCATGTGGGTGGCCTAAGTGCTAGTGGCCGACGATAGTGACTGTTATTGAATGTTTAAGCAGTTTAATTTAACCGTTAAAGCTTTTACATTTTTGTTGTGTTTTTACACAAAAGTGATCAGTTTTTCCTCCTCACTACCTATCAGTGCATTCGATGTGCACCTATACAGCAAATTTTAACTTCTTCCTATTTTCAATAGCAACTCGTGTGATAAATAAAGTTAATCTCAACTAATTTTCTCCCTTATTTAGTTTAAAAGTTTTATTTCGGTACAACTCATTTGGAGATACTGTCTCTGAGTAGCATAGATGGTGTTATTTGTTATTTTCTGCTGGTACCTTAGCAGTTTGAAGTGTTTCTCCAGGATCACTTGAACAGATCAGATTCAGGCTGGCTATGGGGCAAGTCGACAGACAAAGAAGCCTTTATCTCTTAATGATTCAAACCTAAACCATAACAAAACTGTATTATACTGAACAAAGAGCTCAGTATTGCTTCCATGAAATTGAACTTTGTCAGTGCAGTCTCTTTGGAGATTTTAAGATGTCTCATTAAGTCAGAATTGTAGATTTCTCAGGTAAATATCTTGCAGTTACAGAGTAGCAGGTTCTGCTCCTGGTTGTGTCATGAGGTTTATTATCGTTTGTGTTTAACTTGTTTTTGGGAGTGTTTTTTAAGCTGCCGTAAGAAATTAACTTCCCACTTCTGTGATAAACAAAGTTTATTTTAATGGCTCTCCTACTTAATTTGGTATGGTTTATAAAAACTCACCACACACTTTGTTAGGCAAAATGTTCAACTGTTAGTTAATGCAAATGTCCAATCATCCGCAGCTCAGCGCATTTAGGCATGTAGACACGAACGAGACAACCTGCTGAAGTTCAAACTGAGCATCAGATTTTAGTGACTATAAATGTGATTCGGCCTTTGAGCTGACAGAGAGGCAACAGTAACTTAAATAACCACTTTATAACCCAGTTACGAGGAAGAGAATCTCTGAACGCGCAGTACGTCAAATCTGGAAGCAGATGGGCTACAGCAGCAGAAGACCACACCGACCGCTGCTCCTGTCGGCTAATCCATAAAAGTTAATTCTGTTTATCTGGACATAGCGTTTTTAGTGGGAGAAACGTTTTGTCACTCATCCAAGCGACTTCTTCAGTCTGCACTGAAACGTTTCTCCCACTGAGAACACTACGGCCAGATGAACAGAATCAACTTTTTGGGATTTACTTGTCTGGATGATTGAGCATGCATCCTGTCAGCTAAGAACAGGAAACTGAGGCTCCAGTTAAAATAGGCTCACCAAAATAAGACCACAGAAAATGAAAAAATGTTGCCCAAGTCTTGATTCTTGCTGTGACATTCAGGGTTAGAATTTAATGTAAAAATCATAAAAGCATGGATCCATCCCTTCCTTGTATCCATAGTTCAGGTTGCTGCTGCTTGTGTGCAGGATATGCACACTTTTACCTCCTTAGTACCAACTGAGTATTGTTTAAACTCCATGGCCTACCTGCATATATTCTTTGATTGTTGCCATCCCTTAACGGCCACAGTGTGCATATCTTCTGATGTACTCTGTACTCAAACGCCCTCCATAGTCCAACGGAGCACCTTTAGGATGCTCTACTGGAAGCCATCTCAGAGAAATATTACCAGCACCTTATTGAATCTGTGCCATGTAGAATTATTGCAGTTTAGAAGACAAAAAGAGGTCCAATTCGGCACTAGTAAGGTCAGCTGAACAGATACAAGATGAACAATTGTAACTGATTCAGGCTGTTTTTAAGATCTCTTTGAGCATATGTCTGTTCTTGGTTTTTGGTGAAGTGCCTTACTCACACCTACATTAACTCTTTCCACCATGAAGACCTTCCATGTACCCTAATTAAAGTGTTTTAACACCTCAGTATACATCATTAAAGATGAGATTTGATGACCATTAGAAGGGCAGAGATACCCCTCATTGACTTCTTAATGCATAGCCAGGCTTGAAATATGACCAAAACAAGTGTCAGCTCTATTTCGCATTCACAGAGGAAAGAGTTAGGGTTTAGTTTTAGTTTAGTTAACTAAAAGTAACTTTAGCAGCTACCTCTGCCCACTGCAGATCTAAGTATTTGCCTCCAAAGCCAAGAGGGACCCAAAGAAGGCGCAGCAGCAGCTGCAGCTGTTGTAAGTCAGGCAAGAACAAAATCCCACACGAAACAGATCAAATAACCGACCCAACCTGTTCTTTAACCCCGCTGTGACACACGAGCGTGAGGACAAACTTCCAGGATGGTTTTTTATTTCACACTGAAAAATGCAGGAGGACAAGGCAGACACGGTGACAGGAGAGAGGGCTGGTTGGGTTGGAGGCGGGGCCAGCATCAGGGCTGTCAGACAAATGAGAGAAATACACCTTTGTTTCTTTTAATACCGTACCCGTAGAGGTGAACGTAAACTCACAGCAGATCATTAAACTCAGACGTTTGAGCCCGACCCTTCCGCTGAGCGTGGCCCTGTAAACACTGACGCAGAGAAAGGGGATCGAACTGTGAGCAGTTCACAAAACGTCACTGGAAACAAGATTGTGGACGCACGTTCAGCTACATGTCACCTCCTCCGAGTCCCATCAGGGGCGCAGAAGCCCCCACGAGGACAAAAATAAAAGCGCTGATTGTAAAAATAGCTTCACTTCCTTTTCCCGCAGAGCTGCCTCTCACACAGATCCTTAAGAAATCAGCTGATTTGACCTTCAGCTCCTCGGTGTGTGTGTTCAGACAGAAAATCGCTCCTGGACAGATTTCACTGTGTATTTTACTCCCTGAAACATTAAGGCTCAGATTTCCTGATGTGTATTAAAAACTTTTGGATTCATATTTAGAAACTGGCTAAGCATGTAGAACCTGCAGTACACTTTTTTTTTTTGTATTGTTTTATTTAAGTTGGTGTTAGTGTTGAATTCCTGGTTTGAGTTTACTTCCTGTGAGTACAGTTCCCCTGGCGTTTCCTCATCTGCTCCTCTCTCAGTTTTGTCTTTCTGTTTGTGTCTCAGGCTCAGAATGGTGTACTGCAGAACAGGCTTAAAGCCTCTTTTCACCAGGCTGAATCACCATGGCAACCTATGCTGGAGCAGGTTATGTTCAGAGTTTTGTTTAAAATCTGTGAAAGCTTTTTAACGCCACAGGAAAAAAAAAGATTATTATCTCAGATGTTTACATTTATAAGTCGTCTCATGGCGAGATGTATTTATTTTTTTCCAATGGCGAGAACAATCTTCCGTTGGAAACCCATTGAATTGAGAATATAAAAAGTAAATGACTTTTAGTTTGAACTAAAGTGATTCCTTCGTCAGAGAGCGTCAGACCTGAACACACCGAGTCACCTTTTAATATTTAAATGTCTGCAGCGTTTTGGAGCTCTCGTGTGCAGCTGTCGAAATAAACAGCCTCACGCAGAGCTGTAAAACAAATGTTAATTTTAAGCCACCTAAAGCAGAGAAAGCCTGGTTATATTGAGCTTTGTTGGCAGCTTGCCCCTCTGTCTTCATGTTTAATGCCAGCATTGTTTAATGCAGCTTGGTTCGTTTTGGGTTACTTCCTGCTTTACTGAAGGTTAGCTTTGTGTCCTTTACCCGATTCCCTGACTATTCTCGCCTCTTAACTGTGTTCAGCTGCTGTTATGCCTCCGAGTGTTTTTAGATACTTATCTGTCTCCAGCGTCCTGTATTTGGGTCCAAACTTTGCAATTTTTAAGGAGTTCTAAACCTTTATTGGATGAGAACAGGTGAGAGGAGACAGGAAAGGAGGAAGAGAACTAAAGGAAGCCATCTGCAGCCTTTCAGCCTGCAGGTCGCTTGTTATTCTTTATATTATGAATAAATTTTTTCAAATTCCAATTTTATAAAATTTTTCGTGTTATTATTATAAATGAATAAAATCAGATGACTGTGGAGGGGTTTCTGCCTGAACACACAGTGCAGCTCTGATTTAAAGTTAAAAAATGTGCAACTAAAACCGTTTTTCTTCTCATACAATCAGAAGTTTCTTCCACATCTACAGAGCGACTGTGATCACGTTTCAGAGTGTGGATGACACCGGGGTCTGCTGACCTCAACACTGTAAGGTCTTCATGTTGTTATAGTGGTTCTGGTACCTGAGTTTTAACAGCAAACAGAGCAGTAAGAATTGTGGGTAATGTACAGTAATGTGGACGGATGGGTGACAGAGTGTCGTGGGCTGGATTTTCTCTGATGTAACACAGACATAAACACTGTCTCTGCTTAGTGCTCGGTTAAAGCGGTTTCATCTCTAGTCCTTCTCTGGGTTTTGTCTGTCTCTGCCCTCTTCGTCGTCCCCCTCTTTCTCCTCCTTGTCATCATCATCTCCGAACGTCTGCTCCTCCATGCTGATGAGGGAGTGTGAGCGAGCAGCCACCTGAGCTGCGAGGGCGGAGCTGAAGCTGAGCGCCTCAGAGCCGTGGATCTCCGTCAGTCTGTCCATCACAGAGACGGCGGAGACTTTAGGCTTCAGGAAGCAGTCCAGGCCGTTCTCCCCCTCCCCCTCCTCCAGGACGCCATCATACTGGTGCAGCTCTGACGCTCCTCCTCCTCCTCTGCTGCAGACAGACGTTCCTCCCATCTCTGATTGCTCCACACCGCAGCTGAACTCTGTCACGGGGTCGGTGGAGGGGTTAGGCCTCACCCCATCGTGTCTTCCTTCCTGCTCCTTCTCTTCATTTCCAGCAGAGCGCTCTGATAGGTTGTTTCCTCTGTCGATGGCAGGTTCTCCTTTGCCCACAGATGTCAGATCGTCTGACGGCTGAGTGGAAGGGTCTGAACCCTCTGTGTGAACCGAAAGCCCCACGGCGGCTGCGAGAAAGAAAGAAAGACGTGGATGATTTCAGTGACATCTGCTGGTGGGGAAACTTGTAGGAATAATAATTATTTATTAGGCTCTGCTGCTAACTATAACATAACATTAATAAGGAACATTAGCTCAAAATTTGAGTAATAATTATTCGTTTTGCCTGCATGCATTTAAAAATGTACACGCAGATTTTATGAACTGTCATCCTGAGGATCAGTAGACGCGTTTTTCAAACGTCCAGTGCAGACCTTGGTCGCTGAAGAGCAGCTGCTTCCTCTTCATCCTCTCCCCCTCTGACGCACGGAAGCCCAGGACAGCTTTCAGCTCAGACAGGACGCGACGGGACTCCTCCCTCTCCCGCCGCTGCCGCTCCCGCTCCTCCGGTGACAACATGTCAGACCATGACCCTCTGCCTTCGCCATCAGAGTCCGAGTCAGACACGTAGGCCTCCCACTCCTGGTCGAATAAAAGAGTGGGAGAGGCTGACAACAGGGCAATAAGTCATCAGGGGAAGGGGCACGAGTTATACACATGGTTTCCTGTCCTGACAAAAAATACTCAACAATCGTGCTAAAAATAGCTTCAGATTTAATGTTAAACAGTCGACAGCTGATCTTACCAGCTCCTCCGGCACGGGGTCTCTGTCCAGGATCAGCGGGTAGGATGGAGGAGGATCGGGAACCTCAGGTGGAGGAGGACTGCACTGCTCCAGACCCTCAGCGCTGGCTACACAGAAAGATTTCAGACTAACATTATTGTGGGAAAGCAACAGTTTGGTCACTGTGCAGACAGCTGTGCTATGATTGGTCTATTTCTTGTCCTACAATGTGTTTAAGCAACTTCCTTCATGACCGGCAACAGTCTTGAGTCATGGTAAAGGAAGGAGGGATAAAAATAGGCCTGAAGTTACGTGAAACCACTGAGCTGATAACGTGGAAGTCACTGCGATGCCTTCACAGGTCGAACCTGACATTATGCGTTTGACCCGCCTCACCTGTACAGGCGTTGGCTCGTCTCAGCATGCGCTCCACCTGACTGATGGTGTCCTCCCAGCAGCCAGTGCTAGCCTGCATGTGTGGCTGCAGCTGGTGGAGCCGGTCGCTCAGGTCCTGGTAGCCCTCGAGCGTCAACTCCGTCAGCTCCTTGGACACCATCAGCTTCTCCAGGTCGTCCTCCAGGATGATCATCCTGATGATGACAAAGAAAGAGGTTCTTTATACACAATTTTCTTCTACAGGGAGTGCAGAATTATTAGGCAAATGAGTATTTTGTCCACATCATCCTCTTCATGCATGTTGTCTTACTCCAAGCTGTATAGGCTCGAGAGCCTACTACCAATTAAGCATATTAGGTGATGTGCATCTCTGTAATGAGAAGGGGTGTGGTCTAATGACATCAACACCCTATATCAGGTGTGCATAATTATTAGGCAACGTCCTTTCCTTTGGCAAAATGGGTCAAAAGAAGGACTTGACAGGCTCAGAAAAGTCAAAAATAGTGAGATATCTTGCAGAGGGATGCAGCAGTCTCAAAATTGCAAAGCTTCTGAAGCGTGATCATCGAACAATCAAGCGTTTCATTCAAAATAGTCAACAGGGTCGCAAGAAGCGTGTGGAAAAACCAAGGCGCAAAATAACTGCCCATGAACTGAGAAAAGTCAAGCGTGCAGCTGCCAAGATGCCACTTGCCACCAGTTTAGCCATATTTCAGAGCTGCAACATCACTGGAGTGCCCAAAAGCACAAGGTGTGCAATACTCAGAGACATGGCCAAGGTAAGAAAGGCTGAAAGACGACCACCACTGAACAAGACACACAAGCTGAAACGTCAAGACTGGGCCAAGAAATATCTCAAGACTGGTTTTTCTAAGGTTTTATGGACTGATGAAATGAGAGTGAGTATTGATGGGCCAGATGGATGGGCCCGTGGCTGGATTGGTAAAGGGCAGAGAGCTCCAGTCCGACTCAGACGCCAGCAAGGTGGAGGTGGAGTACTGGTTTGGGCTGGTATCATCAAAGATGAGCTTGTGGGGCCTTTTCGGGTTGAGGATGGAGTCAAGCTCAACTCCCAGTCCTACTGCCAGTTTCTGGAAGACACCTTCTTCAAGCAGTGGTACAGGAAGAAGTCTGCATCCTTCAAGAAAAACATGATTTTCATGCAGGACAATGCTCCATCACACGCGTCCAAGTACTCCACAGCGTGGCTGGCAAGAAAGGGTATAAAAGAAGAAAAACTAATGACATGGCCTCCTTGTTCACCTGATCTGAACCCCATTGAGAACCTGTGGTCCATCATCAAATGTGAGATTTACAAGGAGGGAAAACAGTACACCTCTCTGAACAGTGTCTGGGAGGCTGTGGTTGCTGCTGCACGCAATGTTGATGGTGAACAGATCAAAACACTGACAGAATCCATGGATGGCAGGCTTTTGAGTGTCCTTGCAAAGAAAGGTGGCTATATTGGTCGCTGATTTGTTTTGGTTTTGTTTTTGAATGTCAGAAATGTATATTTGTGAATGTGGAGATGTTATATTGGTTTCACTGGTAAAAATAAATAATTGAAATGGGTATATATTTGTTTTTTGTTACGTTGCCTAATAATTCTGCACAGTAATAGTCACCTGCACACACAGATATCCCCCTAAAATAGCTCAAACTAAAAACAAACTAAAAACTACTTCCAAAAACATTCAGCTTTGATATTAATGAGTTTTTTGGGTTCATTGAGAACATGGTTGTTGTTCAATAATAAAATTATTCCTCAAAAATACAACTTGCCTAATAATTCTGCACTCCCTGTATATGTTCTGCTTTGTTGCTATGGTGACCTGCTATCTCTGAATGGTACACGGTCTCCTTTTATTTAGAACGAGATTATTCAAGGTTTTCTCACTCGCTGAGCAGCGCTTTCAGGTGCAGCTGCAGGCTTCGGATGGAGGTGTGGAGGGTGTTGAGCTCTCGGCATTTCTCTCTGGCTCGCCCTGTCCTGTCGCAGCCTGTGGTCCTCGGCTGGGTCTCAAAGTGTCTGTGAAAGTCGAAGCTGCGCTGCACTTCGCCGAGACAGCTCGCCAGAGCGTGATGGAGGGGCTCGGTCACGGCGGAGATGGACCGGTAGAGCGGAGGAGGAAGAGGAAGAGGAGAGGAGGCGTCTTCTGTGGGTCTGATTTCCTCAGACTCCTCTACTCGGCTTGGAGAGAGGAGAAGGGCCAGCCGACGGAAACATTCGGAGCTTTGACCGACCCACAGCTGGAACAGCATCTGCATTAAGACAAGCCAATAAACCTGAGATAAATAGCTTCTTTCAGGCGTTCTTGCTTCGATATAACCAACACACTTCCTCTCTTTCTTCAGCACTGCTTCAGGCTTTTGAAAATCAGAAGCCAAAGTGAGGTCAGAGCATGAATAGACTTTTTTGTATCCTAGTTATTTATCGAGCTCTAAAAGGTTGAAGAAAATAAGCGATTTGGCTAAAAGTGTCTGAAAATGTGTCTGAAAATAAACAGGAAACAGAAAGTATATGGCAAAATTCATAATAACGACTGTTTTGGTTAACTGAAATCAGGATTATTTAACAGGGGGAGCAGAGATGTTATCAAAAATCAAAGATTTTTTGAATTTTAGAAAAAGAAACAGACGTCTTTAGGGGGGGGAAAAAACTGTGCTTTTCCTGACTTTTGTGTTTTAATAATGAGTGGAAGCCAAAATTGTAAACGCAATGAGAATTTGATTAACTGCCTTTGACCCTTGGGCTTTACCTTCAAGGCAGGCAGGCTGTAGTCATCCGTAAGCTCCTGGGCCTGCTCGTCTCCCAGGTGTTCGATACCCAGGCCAAGCCCCAGCTCCTTCAGAGGCACCGCGGACACGTAGTTGGTCACATTATCGATCTCAGAGTTCAGAGGGAACGTTGATGGGCATTAAGGACAAGTGATAGAAGTGTGGAAAGTCTCTTTTGCATAAATACATAGAAGTTTATAAATTTCTCATTTTATATAGATCTGCGCGGATCTTTTCGAATAGTTTAAAGAGGTAGCCTTGACTGTCATCAAAGGAAGCTTTGGGATTTCCACCCACACCATCAAAGCCTCAACCTTCAAAGACAATCACATTTCCCTCAGATATGTGACCACGCTTTGATGACAACGATAAATTCAATTAGGAGTTCGGTAAAGGACATTCAAATACTGAAGAGAAGAAACTGTCTAAATTCAAGCTCCTAAAAGCTTAAAAATCATGAAAATAAAGAATTCCCTGACAACAGCATCCACTCCCAGTTATCTCAGGTAAAGGATATGCCTTGAGCATGTGACAGGTGGCCCTGCGCGATGCCCTGAAGGCCGAACGCAGCGCCCGGTACAAGGCCTTCCTCAGTCCGATGAGCTGTTGGCCACGTAGCCCCGCCCCCGGCCCCGCCCTGCTAAAGGAGCTGGCCGCACTCACCCTGTCGAGCAAACTTGACAAGTGAAATGTGATACAACTGTGGAGACGTCCCAAAGAGGCAGGGGGGCAACACACAACACTGAACAACACATCACAGAAGACGAGACAAAGACACTGAGACGGGTTAGAAACGCTTTAGTGTCAGAAACAAGCAGGTGTGACAAGAACAGCTACGCAACTCAACACATCATCTTTTCTTAAATGAATCAATACTTGAGTATTAATCCAAGCTAGCAGCATGTAAATAGCTGTCCAAAGATAACCAAATCCATCCTCCAGCAGCTTTTGTGTAAAAAAGGTGGAGGCAAAAGAGGACCTCTGCAGGTCTGTTAGTCCTGGTTTATTGCAAAACACTACAATATAGTGATTAGAAGATGAAAATTAGAATATTTTACATATTTTAAACAAAGTTCTAGAAGCCGACGGACAACTTCAGGGAAAAAATAATTAGATAAACATATCACTTATATGGATGGGTTCAAAAATGACTCCACTTGGTCACTTAGGGGTTAAAAAAAGAAAACGCTCATCATCACTGACTCCAGTAAAATGTGGACACAGAGGAGTACACAGAGACATCAGAGGAAAACAATCAAGGCTGTGCATATATGTGTGCCCTTGTAATCCTCTGAAATGACTGTGTGTGATGGGATGCACTACCAGGAGCTCCACACTGTTCTTTCAACTTCCAAGCAGAAAAACCGAGCCGTTCAGAATAAAAGACCTGAAAAAGGGTGCTATCAGCAGGAAGCATCACTGATAAGTCAACCAAATGTCAGGCGCTGATAGTTTACAACTTGTTTTACAGTAAAATGTAGACTGTTCGAAAAGCTGTGAGTAACGTTACAATATTTGCATGTAGCATGTGAGCACATTTGTCAAATCAGCCATAGATATATATACACAAAGATGCCCTTTTATATTAAAAGAGTGCTTATATCTATGATTATTAGCTTCTAGCAGCTAAATAACCACCAGGCACAGTGAACTATGAATTTTTGCCAAAAGGCATTTTGTTTTATATTGTGATGCTGATTGTTTTCCCCTTGTTTATTGACTGTGACATACAGTGCATCATGCCTACAGACAGACAGAGACCACAGTAGGCTAAAAATCAACGATTAACCAAGATAAACACAGAGGATAACTAATGGTTAGGACACAGAATTAGTTTAGCATAAACAGTCAAATATGGGACAACATTCTGTAAATGCCCACCTTAACTACACTGATCGATTGATGTGTGGGTGGATGTAAAACAAGCACACTTACAGGGTGAAACCTCTGGAGATGACTTCAGTCTCCTGCACCAGACGCAGGGCTTTTCGGGACAGCCCCGTCAGGGTCTTGCCGTTGTGAACCAGAGTCTGGAGCTGGGTGGCCCTGGTGTGGACAGCTCTCTGCATACGGCCCTGTCTCCATAACGTGACCATCCTCAGTCCCACCCAGCCCAGCAGGGCCAAGCCCCACGGAGCTGCAGCCAGCGACCACAGGCCCCCAGACACGGAGCAGAGCCCCAGCAGCACTGAGGCCAGGCCGACCAGCCCGGCCATGTCCCTGAGAGACGAGCACAGGGAGGAATTTTGACCCTGTCAACATTTATATGTACTGAGCCCGGATAAAAGGGCAACAATTTTACATGTCAGTGTTAGATTATTAGAGTTGGGGAGTACGTGGGAGTAAACGGCTGTGTAATGTCTTCTGTGGTTCTGGAGTCACATTAATTAAAGCTATAACGATCATGCACCACATCATCCTGTGTGTGATGCAATTTATATCTGCACTGGATTTTCTCCAGCATCAGCATTCATCAAACATTGTTAAATTCCTGTTTTTGAAGCTCTTTGATGTAAAACTCCCACTAAGATGCTGGATTTTCATGAATCATTAAAAATAATGAACACAGAGGTTCATTCTTGACCTCATAGAGACCTTTTCACTTAAAAGCTTTATGAAACATCAATTTTAGCCAAAAGAATTTTGAACTGTAAGAGCTTCATTGACAAACTAAGACTATTCACCTGTAAAACTTAATAATAGAGACTTTAAATGCAACCAGCTTTATAAAGACAATAATCCTTATTTATTTCCTGTCAAACTTTAGTGCGGCCCCTCACTTCATTGACCACTTGAAACAACACTCCCCTTAAAGGCCACCTGCCATTTAAGCCAGTTTTCCTATGATTGAAGGTGGCGCTTCTGTGCCAATGAAAGCCTACAGAATAGCTAAGTTTCATATGATAAGAATTTTGGTCAAAAAATTTGACATTTAGTTTTGTAGAAGATATCCAATACCTTGGATGCAAAAAAAGTCATTCAATATTTGTGAAAGGGAGTTCTCGACTGTCTGTTTCAAAGTGGCGTACCATAGGGAGGGCTTGGCGATGAGGCTCGGTCTAGGTAAGGTGTTCGCTCTGCGAGGCGAGCCAGAGGGTGAGGAGCCGAGGGTGAGCAGACTCGGGTCTAAGAGCTCGATCAGCTCCACGTCCTCCTGCAGCAGCACGTCCTGGTCCAGAATGCACCTGACCGAGTACTGGCCGAACATGCAGTCCTGCAGAGGGCAAAAAAAAGAGTTTATTTTAAAAAAAACAAAACAAAAACAAACCAAACAAAAACACGAACTGTAGGCGCTGGTTTCAGTGCCAGTCTTCCTGCACCTACCAGCTTCTGGTCCAGCTTGCGAGATGCTGCCGCCTGGTGAAATGGGCTCCATCTCCATAAGGCCTCAGCCAGTCTCCATAAGCCCTGCATATTACACACAAGGGAAAGGTTTGGATCATTTAGGTCAGGATTCCATTCCAGCTTCATGCAATATTTTATCCCGCCAATAGTAAACAAAAGAATAAAAGTGAAATATCCCACTATGAATCACCTCTGACTTTTTGTTTGCCAACATATTTATTACATTTTTAACACAAAACAAACAACTGATAGAAAACCTCAATCAGGACAACAAAGTACACAGCTATTATAATGAAAAAAAGGCTATATTAATTTAAAAAACACAAGAAAAACATCAATAAACAATAAACAACCATTCTCTACTCTCCGATCCAAATACTTCCCTTCAAAAATTTCAAATTTAAGTGTGTCATTCAGTTCAGTGACTCAGATGCACTGGAAACCATTGACCTGCTGGATCACTGCTCTGCACCCACATGTCTTCAGACTGTTTTGGTTTGCTTCGAGTCCCAGAACGAGTGTGCAAACACACTTCCAAAAAAAAAAGGGAAAAAAAAGGAGTATCCCAGGAGACAAAGCCTTTCAGGCAACCACAATAAGTGCAATGTGTGTTTGTGAAACACCCACGAGTCTTTTATATCAGCACCAGGGCACGAAAGCCACACAACTGCTTCACTTTGATGAATTTCTAGTTTAGCGTTTACACTTTCTGCCTCAACAAGACTACCTTTTATCCCTTCAAAATGCAGGCCGGACAGAGGAAAAGGACGGGCTCCTTTGATTCCAGAAATATGAAAAGTTTGTACGCCCTTCATTCGACACAATGCAGACACACTTCTGTTTTATTTCTCGCTTCCTAGGAGCCTGGATTCCTAGCACAGTAAAATATACGATTAACTGAGACGGCGAGCCTCTGGCTTTTTGGTATGTTGTAACGTATTTTTTCATGTGCAGCTAAAACAACAAAAAAACAAATCCAACCCGTGTACTAGTCATGAATGGGATTTTCTTTTCACTAATCTGCTTAGTGTTGCTTAGTGGTATCAGTGAAATGCTTTGTTAAAAAAAACAGGACTCATTTTGAAAGACGTTTTCGGCCTGGAGGCTTTGGTTCTTGTTCTGCTAATGTTACAAAAAAATGAAGGCCAGCCTGGAGATTAGCGTGATAACATTATCTGAAGTCTGCATGTGCTCCAGTTTACAGCAGAAGCAGGGGGTTATTGATCCGACATGGGCAGCCAGGCCACTCTGACCCTTTTTCTCTGGGGATGAAAAGAAAAAAATCCAAAGTGTTATTAGTCTAAAGGCTGCGGTCGTATTGATTACTGATCAGAGAGTGAGTCTAACCCATCACCATGTGTGCTGCCAGTGTGGACCACAACTCTGTTCACTCTGGTGTGGAAAGTATAATGAACACCTGAAATACCTATGGCTTCTGCATTAACAGCAACATGTAGTTCTCAGGTTACAGTGCAGGGTTTACAGCTACGATGTACCTGTGGTGCAGATTTAACACAGAAGCATAAATGCACTGTTGACTGTCTCCGTGGCTGTGAGTCAGCTGCCTCCAAACGTGCTGCGTTTGCAACTTCTTAAATATTCTCCAGACAAGCAACCTCGATATAACAGCGATTAAAAACAAAACAAATTCTGAATATAGTAAAACCAAAACCAAAACTAAAGATTTCCAACAATATAAGAACAAAGCTGAAATGACCAATCTAACTGAAGGTAAACTCAAAGCAAGCCTCAAAATGAAACTGAAAGAAAAGCTCATTTGAAAATGCAAAATTATAACAACTCTGGAAACACAGAAATAGATCAACCATTTAAACTGAGAAAATGTTTTTAAGAAGTTGGGACTGAGCTGTGTTTACCACTGTGCAGCATTCCCTCTTCTTTTAAAAACAGTCTGTAAACATCTGGGAACTAAAGAGAGCAGCTGCTGGATTTTTGGGGGAGGAATGTTGTCCTGTTCTTGTCTGATAGATGATTCTAGCTGCTCAACAATCCTGGGTCTTCTTCTGGGTATTTTTCCCTTCACGATGCTCCAGAAGATCTGGATTACAGGCAGACTAGTTCAGCACTGTGACACTTCTACTATGATGCCATAGTGTTGTAACAGCTTCAGTATGTGGCTCAGCATTGTCTTGCTGAAATATGAAAGGCCTTCCATGAAACAGACTGGAACTTGGTGAACTTCTTTAATAAGAAACTCTGCCTTACTCAGATGCTCTTTCTCATTCCCAGCCATGTCACTGACCTGTTGCCAATGAACTGAATTATTTGCAAAATGTTCCTCAAGCTGTTTCTTTTTAGTACAACTTCCTTTTCTAGCCTTTTGTTGCCCCCATCTCAACATTTTGACACATGTCGCTGTCATCAAAATTTTAAATTACTTTATTTTTCCTAAAATGTTCAATTTTCAAGGTTTAAACATTAGATGTGCTATCAATGTTCTACTGTGAATAAAAAAGGCTTTATGAGATTTTACAGCACCCAACTTTTTTAGAACTGGGGTTGTATTTGGACCTATAATTAAAGTAAGGAAGCACAGTAAAGAAGTAGCTGAGAGGGAAGCATTATTCATTCATCAGTAGTGTAACTAATAATGCCACCTCAAAAACCGAATAAACAAACAGCTTATTTTTCAGAATCTTTAAACACGCTGTGCGTTTACCCCGTGTTAGGGTCAGGATTTTACTGTAATGAGATCTGTCTATGTGGTCGAATCGTTTTTGCTTGAGCTCCAGCTTTATCTGGACTCCAGGAAACGGATCACGGTGGAACAACCAAAAAGCTTTCCTGCCTGATCTGAGTCCCTCATCCTCCTTGACTCCTTAGAACAACAGTGCACAGCAGGGAGGAAGCATGACACATACGGAAAGTTCCTGAACACCATTTCCCATTTCAGGAGGAGGGGAGGCCGAGTCATGTTGTCCTGAGCTTCCCATCCTCAGACTGAATCACAGGCCGCTTCAAACCGCAGACGTTTACGGTTAGCATGATGAAAGTACCATTAAAAATTCAGGAGTTTAAATCTTTTAATTGCAGGGGGAAAAAAGCATGTAGCACATATGTGATCATCAGCACACACACGCAGGCTGTAAACGGACGCTCACAGAGGCAGGAATTACGTCAGGCGGAAAGCAGCATGTCGGTAATCGTATTCAGGCGTTCTCTTCTGAGAATCAGAGCAGCAGCAGGGAGAGAAAAATATACCTGAATCAGTGTGCATGAAGCCCTGCTCTCAATGTCTGTCCAAAGTGAAACATATAAACACAACTCACGCAACCGCTGTCTGTGGACGACTGCGTGTCAATATGTGTGAGGAGTCAATATCCAGATCAATTACTTTCTGCCTGACTGCACAATCGTGCACACATGCTGCCCGCTCAGGGCTGCAGAAAACATGGTTAGAGCAATAACCTAACCTGATGAGGGCTTGTTTGACAATGAAGAAGATGTTTTATAGGACCTAAAACTTAATGTGCAGCCTATCTGAGCTCTAACAGAGAGCTGGTGTCAGAAACTGATCCACGTAAAGCACGCTGCAGTGTTTGGCTCGTAACATGTTCTGAAGGGGCAAACAGATTTTTCTCAGTATTTCTTTTTCGGCTCCATTGTTATTAATGTTAATAAGGATATTGTTAAATCTTATTGCTATTGCTATTTTTTCAGTAATTACAGGCAAATAAATGGACAGGTTCCACCATCTGAACAGTTTATATCTAATAAAAAAAATTAACCTTTTAAAACTTAAAGATCTTAACTTTTTTCTCATTTTTCACTATTTTCAGACACTTTATAGACCAATGAATAAATGAAATGATCCAAAAATAAAACAAGAAATATTATTGTTGTTATTAATTTATGTAACAGATTTAATATACATGTAATTTCTTGTGTTTTATGTAATGTATTTTCCTTCTATGGATCATGATTATGCAATAAAGATTAACTGACTGTAAGGTCGGAGCTGGATGTCAAGCAGTCTCTTGCTTATAAATTTATTTTAAGCTGAATCTGTGTTCCATTCACTCAACCGTGTAACAAATTTTTGTTTAACAAATGGCCAGAAGTGAGATTACAAAAGCACAGACTACTGTTAATTTGTGCATTTATTTCATTTTCAGACATTTTATAGACCAATCAACCAGGTAAATAATCCACAAAAAAGAAATTAAGAATTATTCCTAAACTCAAATATCCTATTTTAAAACTAACTTAACATTGGATTTTAGTCTGACTTTGTAAGATTTTTTCCACAGAGGAATAATGCAAAACTGTTTTTTATACATTTTAAACAAACTAATTATGTTCTTCAGCTAACAAACACATTGCTTCAAAGATCCCTGTGGTTTTTTCCCACCCTTTTTGAAGAACGAATAACTGCTTTTATGTTCTTTGTCACTCATGGATAGTGTTTTTTTAATAACAAGTTCTATCTACAAAGCCTTTTATTGTATTTTAAGATCATGTCTTTGTCTGGTTTGTGTGTCACTTGGGAGCAATGTGTTAGAGGTTTGATTTAGATCAAGTGGTTGTTAGTGTGTCGTTTCTGGGAGAGGATGTGGGGAACTCACTGAGGTTTTCTGTGGGTCTCCACCGGGAGAGGTGAGGTCTCCCTCTTGCTCGCCATATTCCTCCTCCTGTGATGCTGTCGGACATGCCTCAAAGTCTGTGTGCCCTAGATCCTGCAGATACTGGAAAAGAGGAGAATTCTGCAAAGAGAGAAAGAAAGAGACCAGTTAAGGAGGAGGGGGGAAATTGCATAAAACAGAGCCGGACGGATGAAGACTGGGAGAAGGAGAGGAAATGTGATGATTAGATTAATCAACTGGATTCAGGGTGAGCTGACACTCATCCCGATTTTTGTCCCAGTTTGTCTTGCCGTGAATAAAAAGACGAGGGAAAGGCAGAGACTTTCCCTCAGCTGAGTCTCTACCCTCTCTCCCATGCACCTTCTTCTCTACTCTGGGAGGATGTGAATCTGGAAATCATCTCACACTCACACAGATGTCAGCAGACACCTAGTTCTTCTCTCCTCAAGTCTAAGCACAAGGTGTCATGTTATAATCCTTTCCTGTCAGAGAGGTATAAACAGAGGTATTGCTGCCTGCTTTAAGAAAGCTCAGAAGCAAATCAGCCATGCAGAAAGCAGAAAAATATCCCCCTGCTAAAATTTGCCCAAACGATGTCTGACCCAGTTCTCCCCAGCTGCTCCTCTGCTGCAGCTCTGATAAGCCAACATAAAAACGCATATAGCACCAGCCTGCACAGACGGTTAAACAAATATTAACTGCCACTCACATGCATGGTCACACGAAGTCGCAGCTCATGTTGTCATCATCCTGGATGCAGAGGTGTGTGTGTCATTTTTCAGAACCGACGCATTGGACGTGGTCATCCCCACCCCACCTCTTAGTAGTGATGAAACACCAACAAACAATGCGCACAACTAGCCCGGCTCAGCCCCTTCTCATGACCACCAAAGCTCCTTGGTAGGAACACGGTTAAGCAGCCAGCCAAATATGTGGAAATGCTTAGGATTGGCAGTGCATGGCAACGGGGCAAACGGCAGGACTGATAGCTAGCTCGGCTAGCTAATGAATTGGGCTCGTAGCTCCTATATTTAGTACAGAACTCGAGCGGTATGACAAAGCATCGGTTGCAAGTTTTGCTAATAAACAGGGGTGGTAATACGTACCTCAAACACCACATCTTCATCAAACTCCTCAGTCATTGCTCTCCGCCATCAACACGCAGCCCGTTTAGCATTCTGAAGTTGTAGGCAACAGTAATCAGGGTAGGAGCAGCGGCTGAGAAGTTAGTTGTTAGCCGGTTGCTAAAGCTCGCCTACAACTTCCATAATGCCTCTGTGTCTTCCAAACGCCGAAAACGAACGTTCGGCTCGATACGCTTTAGAGAGCCTCAGGTGGTCACGAGCGGTAGTGTGGTTTCCCATCCGTTAATGCAAGGGGGCATAGGAGAGTGAAGTTTTCGAAAATTAGCGCGCAAAAAAACGGAAGTTATCTTCAAAATAAAATGCTTCATGTTTTTAACACTGTAGAGTGCTAAGATTTTAAGTAAAACAACTGCAATTGCGATATATTTCAATGGACTCGTATGTTTGAAGACAATGTGCTAACATACACGCTTTACTTCACAATTTAATTTTCTATACGTCTTCTTTGAAATGTAATGTATTTTGTAAACTAGGACCGGAAATCTGTTGTTTGCTATGTCCAATTTTAGATTTACACAGTTGGAGGAAAAGCACCGTGGCTGAAAACTTGGAAAAATGGGAAAAGTAGCAGGCATTAAGACTTTATCCGCGCATCCGCTGGCGAGATAAGGAACCACAGAGATGTATCTGCATGTTTCACCCACGGAGCGGATTTCACGCTGACAATAATGTCGAAGGAGGAAAAAACGCAGATTTCCTCGCAATTCCATTGAAAGTAAATTTACTCATGGAGAGAGGAGCAAGTCGGGAGTCATGAGCACAGGTTTGTGTCGTGGGGGAGCTGAAAAAAATCTGCTTTGCAAGCGTATTTTGTGGCAATAAAAGTACATGTAATGTCTTTTAGTTTTATTCGTGATACTTTTTCAGAAAGAAATGGTCAATTTCCACGCTGTAGCTGTCGGTAGCACCACTCTATTTTTATCCAGCCAGAGTTAATTACAGTTTTTCTTAATAACAGCTTCCAAAAAGACATAAAGGTGAACTGTTCCGACCTCAGTTTGAGTGCTTTGTAAAAACTCAGTGAAAAACAGCAGTTTCTTTTTGTTATCTAAACCTCTGTTGCAGCTGGAGGGGGTTAAATCCTTTGTCTCAAAACATCTGTCCTGCTGTTCCTGAAACATGTCGGACTTAATATCAAGCTGCAGCCCAAACATTTCACGAAAAGCAGCAAACATGTCTCTGGATGAAAGTCTTTTCATTTTATTTGGGGGTTATACTTTTTAAACGTTTTAATAAATATGCCCGGCGTTGCCTTATAGAACTAAACATAACACCAGATTCCGTTTTAAAACATGCGAATTTAAAGTTGCTTCTTTAATAAATATGGTTGTGTGTCTTCCAGAGTGTAGTTTATGACTTTACATGCTGTTGTTGCATACGCTGACAGATTCGGCTCATAGATAAAACAGAAAGAAACAATAAAATTAAAAGTTGTGTATCCACACTCTTCTTACCAACACCGCCATCCATCGTGGGGTTTTTCTTAAGTTTGGGTGAAGCACTTCGCAAAGTGTACGCTTACTAACATGAAGTGTGCGCCGAATTGAAGGGTGGTTCTCGGTGATCAGAAAAAAATTCAATCACTATTTATTAGTAGTTATTACTGGTTGCAGTCACAGTGAATTAATGTTTTGCGATGTTTTTGAAGGGAATTTGGTTGGAGTCAGGCTTTCAGCTGCAACCGGAGAGCGGTTTTCGATCGTTGGCCTTTTCCGAAACATCCGCTCGATGACTCGACTTCTCGTGGTGTCGGCCAGCCAACAGTTTGAACCAATAGAGTGGAAAATATAGCCTACAATCCTAAACCAGAGGGTTTTTTTAAAATTAACGACTATACTTTTTTTTTCTATTTTAACCTTTATTTAATCAGATTATTTCCTAATAGGATTAGGAATGCTAAGCAAGGATTTTTTTCAGGAAAACAAACTGTCATGAAGAAGAGTAGGAAATGCTCTTGAGTACACAGGTCTATCGACAAATAAGAATAAACTGTGACTTATTTAAGGAAAAATTGGACCAAGAAGAGATAATACAGTAAACGCCAAGGTTATTATAGTGAACTGATACAACATTAAACAACAACACTGAACATTTTCAATCAGAAATATAAACTGAACTGATAGAGAAATAAATAAAAGATTTCAGAATTATCAGAAAATGCAAACTATGCAAAGAAATCTGGTCCAGCCATACCAAATATGTCAGAAATTAAGCATGTTTGAATCAAATAATCTAGATTTGCTGCCACCTTCAAACATTAGCTACGTCAGTTCACACTCATGAGTAAATACTTTGTTATAACGGGGAAGATGGTGCAAAATAGTTGAAAATTACTCATTTCCTATCTTCGCCCTGTCAGTGACCTTGTGACCTGAGCTTGCCTGTGCTTACATTAGAGGAGGCATGGCTTTTGTGTCTGACACGCCCTCTCTTTCTAACACACAGGTGTAAAGAAGCCTCCATTAGCTCCCAAACCTAAACTCCCCGTCACTACCAAACCTTCACCCCCACCCGTCGCTCCCAAACCGGGACTCATTTGTCAGCCTTTGGCGGTCTCCCAGCCCTCCCCTTCCACTCTGAAGAGGGCAAAACCGGCTGTTGCCCCCAAACCATGCATCCCCAAATACTCTGTTGCCTCTTCTCCCCTGGTTTCACCCCCGCCGCCACCCAAGCCTGCTGAACTGCTTATCCCATCTCAGGAACAGCAGGAGGCTTTTGATGATGGCCTCAATCTTCTCAACTCCAAAAACGGGATATTATCTGAGGCTAGCAGACGTGAATCGGATTACATCATTCCCACCTGCTCCTGTGGGCTCCGGGACTGTGCACAGTGTCAGCCCCTGGAAAATGGGAGCACATCTGAGGCTGGGGGACATTCACACAAAGAGCTGTTAGAGAATGGCGTTTCCAAAGAGGGGTTCGTGGGGTCAAAGCCACGAAAGGGTGGAGAAAATCAAGAGGAAGATAAGGGTGAAAGTGTGCAGATTAGCAAAAAGCCCAGGGGTAAACCTCAGAGACAGAAACACCTTGATAGGGGACCGGTAAGCAAGGAGGTACAGAGGACTAAGGAGCAGGAAGTAACTTTAAAAAATCAGGAAAGCCCTGCTGCTGAGCTCGATGTCTCTAAAGTATCGACGGAGGCCCAAAACACACACTTGAAGTCAGCCTGTGATGTCATAGGTGGCATCATTGTCTTCTCAAGCATCTCTCCTCTTGAATTGCCTACAGAGTACTCTGAAAGCAGCAACACTGTCAGCAGAGTGTCTCCTACCCAGTCACACCCTGATCTGCAGGTCCCCGCTGCTCCTAGCAAGCCTCTCCCAGTCCCTCAGCCTCGTAAACTTAAAAAGCCGGCGTTGGTGAGGCAGGATGGTCTGGAGGGTGGTGCTCAGGAGCAGTTTGTGGAGGAGCAGAAACAAAGAACTGAGATGAAGGAAGCTGAGGGGAAACTAGCTGCTCTGTCTCTCAGTACAGAGAGCGAGGAGCTCAAACCGGATGCGTGTGATGACAGTTCACCCCCAAAAGACTCAGGTTTAGGAGACGATGAGGCTGACGCGCCTGTCCCGCCTCCTCGGCAAACCTCTCTGTCACCTCATCTCCACAGGTCATTTTGCATAAACCCCAATCTTAACAAAAACAACTCCCACTCCTTAGACCTACTCTCACAGCCCGACTCTGTCAGCCACAGTAAAGAGGGTGAGGCGCGCCGGGCCGAGGAAGATGAGGAGGATGGGTACGGCGACTTTGAGCGGTACCCCATCAGTCATAGCCTCCCTAAACAGATCAAACTCAGCTGTCACCCTCCTCTGGCGAACGACAGGAAAGCCTTCTCCGCTGAGGAGGAACAGTCGCCGAGGGCACCGCCAAGAAAACCGCAGAGACACAGCCTGCCCGCACCTCCTCCACCCTCCATCTGCCCTCCTGCACCTCCACATGCTAACACCCCAATGAGGGAGCTGCCTGCTCCTCCTCAGGAGAAAACAAGCTGGCGCTTCTCGCGACCCTACGTGACCTTCTTCAGTCGACAGATCCCCACCAGGAGCAGCGTGCCGCCTAAGAGTCGAGCCCCGGTGCTGGGGGGCAAGCAGAGGGCGCAGTCTTTCTCTGCAGCTGACCTGGCAACCCGGGCCAACTCTCCAAAGAGGAGCCTCTCTTTCCGGAAGCTGCTGGAACTCCGGCTGTCAGTGAAGATGCTGCCAAAGCTGCTTGCCAAGGGAGGGCAGTCCCTGGACTGCACCAGCGTCGAGTCAAACCGGGGCAAGAGGAGCCTGGAGAGGCCCAGTAGCTGCATAGGGGAGGCTGATATTTGCGGAGAAGGCATAGAAGGCTTGGCGGAGTATGAGAACGTCCCGCTCTATGAGGAAATCCCGGAATACATGAATCTGCCGTTTCACAGTGCCAGGCTGGGCTGGCCTCATGACCCAGATGCAGCTGATGCAGACATCTACGAGGTGCAGGATCCATACCACAGATGTCAGGAACATGAGTATGAGAGGTACGCTGCTTTGTTAATCAATTTTTTCTCAGCTATTTGAGTTGATAGAAGCAGTTTAAGAGAGAGTCAGAAAGGTGGAGGGAGAAGGAGTCGGGGTGGTGACACAGTTGTTTTTCTGTTTATCTTTTTATCTCTTGTATACTGATTTTGTTGATAGCCAATCACTGCTGCCAATCTCAGTCTGCATGCTCTTTAAAAAGATATTTTAAATCTCAAGAGTCAGATTTTCCTGGTTCACTGGAGTTTAGGGATCAAACCCAAGCCACTGCAGAGGACTCGGACTCAGTACACACTCTAACAAGTGAGCCTCATGACCGTTTATTTCTGATTCTGGTCATTTGGGGGATTTATTTTAGAAGGATTAAAGTAGGTTAATCCTCAGCAGTTTAGCTCTTCTAGCCCTCAGGAGGGCTGGT